TACGATACATTAAAGATACATATGAAGCAGCTACCGATGCGATGCGATACGATTCACCCTTGTTACGATGCAGTGCGATCCGATTTCGATTCGATTCGATTCAACACAATTTGATTCGATGCAATACGATGCAATGGAAAAAATATGATCACTTGTAATGCCTCAAGACCTGTTTCATAAAACAAGTTAACCAAATAAGCCAGGCTTATTTCAGTTAGTCTGACTCATTATCAAATGATTTGGTTTCATAAAGCAAATTTAACATAGGCCTAGATCAGCTTAGTCACTGTGGCAACTTATGCTGGGAAACTAACCTGGGGCCGGTTGCATAAACGGTTTAGACTAGTCTTTCTAAAGCAGGCTAACTGTCAGGCTAAGCTAAGCTCCTCTTCTGACCAATAGGAATATAATGATATTACCACTGTCTCACATAGCCTACTATTATTTGACTTTTGTTTTACAGTTTCTTGTCATGCAGCCTTTCTCTCTGGTTGTATTACAGCTGTACCTTTTATAGATTGCAGAACAGATAGCAGAACATTAGAACATTACAATCTAAAATTGCGCTTTAAAGCATTAAAATAACTAAATTAAAAGTTAAAATCACTGAATTAAAAATTAAAAGAAATAATAAAAGAAAATGACTACATTTTAACTGCTATAAGAAACACACATTAAATCATTTGAGCTTAGTAATTAATTAGTACTGTGTCTAGCTTACATTTGATTTACCTATTACAATAGTCCACTTACAGTTACTGCTATCATAAAAATACACTTTATATGTAGGTTTTAAATTCTACAAAAGACACATTTAATGTCCAAAAACAAATTTTTTATCATAATGTATATTTTACTCTTAGCCTTTATTTTTATTTTATTTTATTTTATTGATCTTATATTTTATTGTCTGCGTGTGTTTTGTTTTGTTTTATATGTGTGTTTTGTTTTGTCTTGTTTTGTTTTTTAGCCTTTGCACCATTTATTTGTCAGTGAAAAGGGGACCGTAAAGCCCCGTTCACACCAAGAACGATAATTATAAAGATAACGATATTAGCGTCCACACCAGCCAACCCTCTACGGACACCTTGGCAATTGAATCGCCATTGGCTAGTACATTTTTTAGTTTACTCGCCAGACTGAAATACTATATATAATTTCTATTTTACAAACACACATATATATATATATAATGTTTGTAAAATGGCACAACTTTTAAATATCTGAAAGTACACTCTTAACATCAGTCAGTAAAGCAGTCAAGCATTATAATATGATAATCAAGTATTATTTAATAATAGAAGTTTAGTAATTAGAATTAAAACTTGGTAACCATGTATGAATGCAAATTAGTAATTTTAACTGAACTTAGGACTGGTGGTGGTGCTATTTATTATTATTATAATTATTATTATACGAATTATACTAATAAGAACAATATAAAACGCACTAAGGATTAACGCGCTGCTGGATTCATGAATATC